TGGAAAATGTCAAACTGTTTTTGAGATATTTCCAATTTTTTTTCAGTTAACTGTTTATAACTTTTGCAATTTCTGCAAGTGGCTCTTGAATTTTTTTAAAAATCATATATATGCTAAGTTTGACTCAAAAAGCACTTGTTAACTAAACCAAAGAATACCTACCCAAGAAGCGAAACTAAATGGGCGATTCGTGGACAAAAAACTGCCAAGTTTTGTCAGTGTTTTAGAGGTGGTTTAACGTCAAATATAGCTGTCAATTTATGTAGAGTAACCAGAGCAACGTTTGGTATATTAGTATTAGCGTTTTGTGAAAATTGCAGTATAGTTAAGTAGTTGTATTTAACTAAGTAGTAATTAAAAATTAGATAGTTTTAAAATTTAAATTACAGGAAAAAAAAATACATTGCGTTATACGTAAATTTTATTGAACGGTCTTGCATCTGGCTGTCAATGTTTTGTTTTAATTTCTAAATCAGTATTATCTATAATGATAATTTACGCCTACGTATTATGCATCGTTTAATTTTTTAATCTTTTATTTAAATGTTATTTTTTTTGTTTTTCAAACCATTCAAATTAAAACAGTAAATAAACAATAATAAAAAACAATAATTAAAAGATATGACAAACTCACTTCGAGAAACCAAGTCGCTGCTATCAGGATGCAATCGAAATGCATTTACAGCTACCTACAATACTTCTGGATATGTAACGTGTATAGGGTGGGTTACCCCACGGCACTTAGGCCTCACTATGCCCATTGTGTATCATCAGAAAATGATAGGCACCTTCTATCTCATGACCCAGCCTACACATTTATTGTAGTTGACAACGTCGCCAAGAGGTGCTTCTCTTATATCGGCCGGTGTTAGCCAATACTCGCCGAAACCAAATCGTTTAATAAATGAGAGCGACTGGCAATCGTAGAGGATATGTTCAATGGTTTCATCTTTTTGTTTGCACCCCCTGCAGGGTGCAAATTCTGACAGTTCCATGATATGGAGATGCTTTCGTACTTGGAAATGACTAGTCAGAATGCCTGTGATCAGACGCAGATTCTGTCTAATCATAGTCAAGTATTTGTTTGTTGTAGTGTTGTCAGGATAACTTAAAATCTTCCTGGTAACTCAGCAGATTCTTGTTTTATCCCATCTTTCCTTCAATTTCACAAGAGAATATTCTTTATTTAGGTCTGTCACTACCGATGTTGTCAGTTCAATAGAAGCCAGGTCCAAAAAGTATTTGGTTGGCCGCCATTTTGGCTAGTGAATCAGCAATAAGGCAACCTTTCGTTGTTGCGTCACCTTTTAGTCCATCTTGGATGGATACCCTTGCCAAAGCTTCGTGACATTCTAGTACTAACCCTAACTAAATTCGTAATCTATTCAGGGTAAGTAGTGCTTTTCTGCTATCTGCATGGATGAGTATGTTCCTATCAGCGATTTCTTTTGCTGCTATGAGAACCTCCGTGAGCTCTGTGAACTACATTGGCACTATTGCACACTATTGCACAGTTTATATTGAGGTTTAAGGAATATGAGAATATTCCACACCCTGAGCATTGTTTTGTTTTAGAACCGTCTGTGTAGATATGTATCGTACCTGCCACTTCAGGCTCTTCTATTTGTTCTGTTATAACTTCATATGGTTTATGGAAGATATAACTCGGTGAGATAAGGTTCATGTTTGCTTGAAGCAGTTGGAGCGTATCGAGCGCCTTTTGCCAAAACGACTCACCTCACTCGCCTCACCAGATCGTACGTCAGATTCTATTCCAACCGTGCATAGGCGTGTCATTGTCATCAGAGCAACCTCCTTGATGTAAATATTACGGGAAGTGAGACTAAGAACGACTTCCATGACTCTGGTTGGTGTGGTTTTCATAATTCCTGTTATGTTGAGACATGCTGTTATTCGAATTTGTTCTATTTTGCGAATAGTTGTCAATTTTTGGATTTTCGGTACCACAGACAACTGCACCGTATGTTAGCATAGGTCGTATGATGGCCATGTAAGTCCATGTGACGACTCTGGGAAAGAAACCCCAGGTGCGCCCAACGGTTTGGTGGCATTGTTTATAAGTAATGTATGCTCTTTTGACTCTGTTTTCTAATTGTGAGTTCCATGTTAACTTGTTGTCAAAGGTGTTACCTAGATACTTCACCTCTGTTGCAAAGTTTTGTTTTGTGTTTAGGAGATCTGTAGGTTTTAATTCCATTTTCATCATTTCCTTGTGAAAAGGATTATTTCTGTCTTCTTGGGATTGATAGACAGTGAATAGTCCTTGCACCACTGTTCCATAATTGTTCTCAAAATTTCCTATTTGCAGAATGACCGTTATCAACTTACGCTATTGTGTAATGACTGTTTCATACAGTACTTATTTCGTTATTAAAATAATATATTTGACATAATGAACATAGTAAGATTTTTTTGTCATTGTTACTTTAGTATGTGTTTAATTCTTATGAACCAAACGACAAAAACTGATTAATTTTTATACGTTTCCCAGTGTATTAAGTTCCCTTGCTTTGGTACATACGAAAACTCATTCAGTTTCGCTTCTTGGGTGGGTATTCTTTGACTAAACTAATTAAGTCTGATTTTAGCATGGAATTTATTTGACTCTTATTACGTTGTCACTATTAGTGGCGGGCGTTATAGAAATTTGCAATATCTCTGTAATATCTTTGGCAACCTAGGTTGCCAGCATCGAAATAGGATGAAGTAGACTATTTAAACACTATTTTGCGATATGACAGATGGACGCACTTAGCGATACCGAAAATCAAAGTATGTGGCGATACCTGACTGACGGAAACTTGTAATCAAAATAGCGACCTAGAGTCGTACTTTGATTTGTTTGAAGTTATATTTGAAGATTGACGATATGAAAATGTTTTTATATAATTTAAATTAAGTTATTTTAAAAAATGTTATGTAAAAAAATATATGTATCATTGACAACAGGCCCACAGGGTTGCTATATGTAAACTGTCAGTTCTCACTTGTCAGGCATTTTGACAGGTTGTTGGAATGCCTAATTATTAATGACTTATATTTTAAGGTCACTGTCAAAAAAATTCTTCTGATTTTATTGATGAGATCATGAAACCTTAGACTAGGTAATATAGAGAGGATTCATATTGCCGCTGAAAATTTTGTTCCATTCTGACACCAACGATATTCGACCAAAGGCGTAACATGTTGGAATTAAAAAAACAAACCTGTATTTATGTTATTAGACATTTTTAATACGTTTGTTCACGACGTTCGTGACGTTATGAGCAACTATTCTCGGAAATCCAACTTTTTCTAGTTTGGTTGATTTAAAAATCTCTTTTATGGTATTAATTTTAGCCAAAGCGTCTATAACTAATGTTCCCGTAGCATATAATTTTGTTAAATGATAAAGTTTACTAGTTCCGGTATACCACAGTTCCAATAATGGCAAATAAATAATATAAAAAGACAAGCTAAAGATATTATGGCTGTCCCGAGAAGAAGGCAGCTAGACGAAGAACACGACTCGATACGCGCGCGCGAGGCTATCCAATCAGCCAATGACGAATGACGATCGACATGCGTTACAGGCAGCGCCAAGAACGCTGTCGTGGAGCCATATTCAAATATAGCGAAAAGAGTTGAACGTCCACATTACCGACATATTTAAAACGTCCTAAAAACATCCCAGCTAAGACGTTTTAAACCGTCCGTTTTACGTACCAGGACGTTTGGACGAAAGTAAGACATGAACTGGGCGTCTTTAAGATGTAGTGTGCTATCTAGATATTATTAAATTAAGCTAGTAAGAAAAATTATACATAAATGAAGATAAATTTATTACTGACTCTTAACTAATACTAATTTGGTACAATAAGAAGAAGTTTTAGCAAACAACTCTTTTTTTATATCTTTTAACTTTTTGTTTAAAAACTTTGATTTGTCTCGTTCTTTTCTTTATTTTTTTCTATCTGTTGTAAAAGTTGTCTTCTAAGCCATTTTATGCTAGGGCTTTCTAGGATAGATGCCTTATTTGAAGTCCTATTTAAAGGATCTAGCTCAGCTTCCAAATACAATGCTCTTCTTTTTAAGAACTACAAACAATCAATTATTACGGTAATGTTTTGAATTATACACAAAGGGGTTGCTAAATTCTTAAAAGTTCATAACATAATAATGAAAAGTAATTAAAAAAATATATATGTTTAATTATGTTAATTAGTATACGAACCTTCTTCGGATGCATGTATTTAGAGAATTCAGGAAATATAGTAAACGTCTTTTACAGTCCGTCCCATAAAAAAAATTTCTTTCAAAATGTTTTGTCTTTTGGCGTAGGCATCCAATTTGCAATTTTCGTTGCCTGAATCCAAAGATTTTTTTGTTGGATCCACAGGAAATCTAAAATAAAACAACAAATAAACATTGCTGCAATTAAATAAGAAGCAAAAGTAAATTAGAATTTAATAAAAGTTAATATTTAGAATTGTACGACACGCCACTGGAAAAAAATTACATGTTTGGTCATTATCATTAATTGCTTAAATATCAATAAAAAGCATAAAATAAACAAACTTGGTGGGTAAAATGTATTACTCTGGAGTGAGACATGTACAATATGTAAATACCAAGTTGTATAACACTAAATAAAATGAGAAATATAAGAATAATATATAAAGTGGAAACGACTGATGTTTATCTTTTACCTTTGAAACGTAATATCTGCTTCTTTCTTGCCGCTATAACTTTTACACTGATATGCCACACAATAAACTATTGTAATAAACCAATTATTAAATATCGCTTAATTCAAAAATCAGAAATAAACACGAACAAACACTTTGGTGTCATCGAAATACTTAGCACCAAAATAATGGCGGCTACTAGAAAATCGGCACAGAATACTACGTGTGCTCGATATACTTGTTACGCGTCCTTTCTTTATTACCTAGTCTAAGCATGAAACAAGCTCCCACACTTCTATATATTTTTTTTAGATTTACGTGGAAGCGTACTTCAACATTTAAAGCAACGAGTTACGCCACAATTGATTGGGAAATCAGAAAAGGTATAGCTAAAGCTGGAACCTACAGAATACGACACTACGGTTATTATAAATTTATTTTAGGCGGTGTATACCCCTATTCTGGTGTCTCGAATACATTTACTGTAAGCGAATAAATTAATTTATAAATTGTTTGTGTTAAATAAATAGTCGTTTTTTAAAGTGTCTTTTATTTTCACAAATAAATATAAACCAAGAAGAAACTCAAGAATTTGAACGACTGAACCAGTTAAGAAATTAAGATCAGAATAATCAATGTGACAACTGCTAATTTACAAGATTGAATGTAATGATATTGTAAAAGCTATCGAAATAAAATAATAAAACACTACATACTACCATTGTATAAAGAACTACTAGTAGTACTACCTTATGGAAGTATCATTAGAGCCAAATAGATACTGCCAACTGATGACGCTAGTGAATTTGAATACAGTCGAAAATCGCTTGTTTTGAACTGATCGACCTTGAGCGTGTTTGCCTTTCAGAGGGTTTGGATTTTAAGATTATACATGATAAAAAATTGTGTATTGTCATATTTCTGACAAAATGAGATTCATTTTTTGTTTATTTTATCCAAGGTGATAGTTGGTTGTCGTTGTGCGTTTATTTACGGGTAGTATTGTGAATTGGTTGATTATATTTTGTTATTATTGGATTATTTTATTGTAAATAAGCGCATTATACAGTGTGAAATAAATTTGAAGATATTTAAAGTAAGTAAAATTTATTATTTGAAAGGGAACATGAATGTAATTGAATTTATGCAAAAAGACCGGCCAAAAAATAAACACAACTAATTTACAATGCTGCCCGTAAACGCACAATGACAACCAACAATCACCTAGGAAACAATAAACAAAGAATAATAATACATTGGTCAAACTTTTACAAAAAAAGAGCAAATATGAAGAGCGAAATATGCAGAAGGTCCTAAGTGCCATTTTCCTTGAAATTGATTTTATTACGTTTATGGGTCCTATCCGCCGTTCTTTACTTGCAAAATAAATTTCATAGCAATGATCACGCCACCTATGGTCAAATTTTACGATTTTAATCTCCGAGCAATTACTACTAGAGGGAGTCTTCCCCCCTTTCCCGCGCTAAATTTTCTTAGCAACATCTACTCCCCCCGAGGGGGAAAATACCTCTTCTGTAATTGGCTTATTTAATCAGCGTTGCCAAGTTTGACAGCGCCAGAAGTGTTCTGTGAGCGCCAGTTCTGACACTTTCTGACACATGTCAATTTCTTATTTGTATTTTACGGAAAATATTATTATTTATAACGTTGTAAGGGTTGTAAATGTATATTTAAGATTTATTATCTCTAATAATATGGTAAAAACATGCGTTATGTGTAAAAGGCCTGTTGAAAATGCTTCTTCAAGATAATATCATAAGTAAGTACAGACACAACCTAATTATCAGAGGTGGTGCATTAGGCAATCACCTTTAATTTGCAATTAAACTTTCTTATTTGCTTATCGAAAAATTAAAATTAAGAGCAAGTAAACTCCAGCTAAGTTCGTCTTCATCCGTCTGTCTCATAATGATTATAGTAAAGGTTAATTACTTATTATTTTAATATCACATCTTTGTAAAGTTTATTGTTATTTTTTTAGGTTTCCTTTTCTTGATATGAGAAAGAAATACATGGTTCCAAAATATAGGAATTCAACAAGTGACCACCTGAATAACTTGTTATGCTAATGAACATTTTTATTATAGACCTCAGGGGAGGAAAATATTAAAGAAAAATTCAATTTCGACGAAAGAAGTATAATAATCAATCCTGTCACCACTTCTACACTATATTCATCTGCTACTAAAATACTAAAACAGCAAGTAAGTTTATTTCAAAAAGAATGTTTAAGAAAAAAGGCATAGCCATTTTTTTGTTGACACTTTTTTTTAAATAATCTAAAAGACTAATTTTGTGTATTGTTTAAATTTTCATTTTTTGTACTTAATTTGTTTTAGGTTTAAACAAAATGAACTTCTAAGATATGCATGGAATATCCCAAAAGAGCTAAGGAAGGTTTAAAAATTCTTAAGAAAACTATTCAGAGCCAAAAACATAAAATAGTCTTCCTGTCCAAAATATAAATAGGTATAAATATTTAGATATTATGAGTGATTTTTTATTCTATAAATAGAACATAGTTTGCTTCTAAATCACTACCTAATGAACTATATTATATAGTACAATACTAAACAAGAATATCACATTATTCATGTTTTTTTTAATTTCCTTAAAAAACGTCCCAAAAAAATGTGAATATTTATTATTGGAGTTTACATCGTTATGCTAAAACAATACTAGAACAACTTAAATAATGTGGATTTTGACTATTTTGAGTTATGCAGATCATTATTATCTAAAAAAATGTTTGTCTGGTACTATAGTCAGGTATAAAAACATTCATTTATTTAAACACAGTTGCAATATACATTTTATTTAGTTTTTAAGTTAAAACCTATTAGGACATCCTAAAATGACTTTTTTCGTTTGATATGAGATTAATTATTCTACATTTTTGTTGGTGAAATAGGATATATTAAGATGTTTTCTCTGATTATCTTAAAAGTTAGAACAATATACAAAGACTGTTATAACAAAAAAGAGATATACCTTTACTTAAACACAAAATTAGTCAGTTCAATTGTACAATAATTTAAAGCATAAATCCAGAAAACTTTAAAAATGTGTTTTTACTATAACAAGGACATAATTATTAAAAAAACTTGGCACATTAACTTTGACGATAGGTTTTTATAATATATATTATACAAATCACAACGAACTACACAAAACGACAGTATTAATAATTTAGCAATAAAAAAGTTAAGTGCATTGATGACATTAAAAGTTGAGTTTCTCGAAATACTTTTTTTTAATTGTCTCAGTACCTACCTAGTATTTTTCTAGCACAATGATATTATATGAATGTGCATTGTGTGATATCTTATATTTTAGGAATAAAATGATATATTTTTTGCAGGTTTCTGTTAACAACGATTCCAAGAACTTTTGAATATATTATTAAAACGGCCTTTGCAAATATAATTCTCAATTAAGAGCTTTTGATCTAACATTAAATTTTTGTTCTCCATTAGGTTACAGCTTCCTAAGAAGAAAGTTTAACAAGACTTACCAGACTCAAAATATCAAAATTTTACCAATCAATTGATGGTTCTACTAGTTTCCATAGGAAATTTCTCCTCGAAACTACTAAAAGAAACATAACATAACATACTAAAAGAAAAGTGGCAGAGGCAACCGATGAAGGCAAAAAAGTCTTTTGCAAAACAAAAACTAGAAATTTGTTTAAGAATCTAATTATTGTTTGAAGTTTTACCATTAATAATTTTTGATAACGATTTAAGATTATGAAGTTTTATTATGTATTTTACTCTTTGATAACCTATGTTTAAATTTTTATTAGGACCAAAATAAATTATAATTTTCAATTCAACTACAAAAATTCTCATAATATTAAAAAGAGGAAAGAACGTTAGATTAGTTATGTTCAGGAATAAACTCTTTAAACATATATCTACTTAAAATGTGTTACTTTTAGAAGGTATGTTATTAACTTTCCATTTGTACTTGTATTAATTTATTTCATTTCATTATCTGTTGTATTTTCAAATTGATTTTGATATTAATCTTATCTATTTATATATTTCTTATATTCCCATATATGTTTTTTTTTTCATTGAAACAAACGTTTATTAGCTTATTAAATATAATAAATTCATATTGTTTTATCATATGCTTGTATGAATGATTACTTTTATTTCCTTTTAAAAATGAATTTCGAAGATAAAGCCGAAACGGTGCCGGTGAGAGAGAATAAAAAATTAGACGAAAGTGACGATATTTACTGAAGCTTTCATCTACACCTGAGCCAGCAAGATTCGTCTTCCCTTCATCCTTACATTCTCCAGATTTACAGAGAAAACGCCGTCCTCTTTAACATATCTAGACCTTCTTTGACGGGGACTATACCACTACATTATCAGCTTCGTAATTGCTCATTCTCATCTCTTGTAGATTCCGTACTCAGTTTTCTTATTTTTAGTTACGTTTGCACTGCTCTTTTATTTTCACAGCTTTAATTCTATAATGCTGTAACGCTACAATATGGATCAATTTTTGTGGTTTATACTATTTAATGTTATTCGTAAGTGACCAACCTATTATAGTAATTAAAGATTATTGTATACAGGCCTGAAGATGTTTCTGTAAGGCCGAAACTAGTCGCTACTGTATTTATTTATAATAAAATTGATTTTAAGGTTTTATTCTTCAATTGAAAAAATTAGACCGTTACAGTGATTTTGTTTCATTTCCTGCATTAGACACATATAAGACGGTATTCTTTTTAAATATAGTAAAATTAGCAAATTTTTTTAGTTTTTTTTACAATTAAAACGTTTGGACAATGTGTGTTTTTATAGATAAATGATACGCCACTGAACAAGAAGGATGTTTACCTTCCCCCTTGTGCCCGCTTCCTCACTTTCTCTACAGATGTTGCTAACACAACAATCGCCTACAAACTCGTTTTCACGCTCCCTCTATTAGTAATTGCTCGGAGATTTTAATCAAACAGGCCCAAATGACATAATTAACGCACATCAGCTGGAATGTCATAACGTCAGTATAATATTTTTTGGCGTTTTGTGGTGACTATGCGCGGAGCAAATTAACGTGGTTTTAAGCAATTGAACCTTAGAGCATAATTAAACAGTTTAGAAGAAGTGATAATCGTCTCACATCGTTAGTTCTTACATGCTTGTTTTCCAAAATCTCAAGTTATAAATGGGTGAAAACGTTCCAAGTGTTAGTGGATGCGTTCCACTGGAACTTCAACGAAAGACCCAGCGCTATTCTTGACATCCTTCGCAAATACACGTATACTCAATATTGCGAAGGGTTCATTTACGCATGCTTCCTAAAATGAGATTCTTGAGACCCCTTCGCAATTACTTGCGAATATTCTACATTTTCACTTTGGCAACGTTGCAATTATATTAAAATGACACGCTGAATGACAGCACGATACAAATATTTTGTATCATGGAATGACAGTTTTCATTATCTGTCTGCATTTAGCTCTTTAAAATTTCTTGGGAAATTTGTTAACAATAATCTGATTCATTTAAAGCACTGCTAATTTCTTCAGGGCATCCGGGAAACTGATATAAATAAACTTCTACCAA